GCTGGGTCTTGTATCTTACCAGAGCGTGTGTCAACCATCCTACAAATTTATATAAGGGAATAATGAGATAACTTTAAGTAGCCTCCAGAATAATTTATTTATTTCTCACATCAAAGAGAGCAGTGAAGTCACACAGTATACCAAAATACAAATGGTGATTTTAGAATAACATATATTCTGTTTATAATACATATATTATGTTTAATAAAATAAATAAATATATTTGGAAAAAAAAAAAAACAAGTCGGTTGACGAGTGGGTAACACCCTCGATTCCCGACAGTCATGAACCGGGATTGAATCACGCGTTAACATTTTGTTTAATATATGAATAACCTTCACATATTATTCATTGTTGTAAATATCATAAACTAGGTTGTTCTTGTTGAGCGGTACCTAATAAAGTGATTTTGAACGGCGAATATTTGGGATTTAAAATATATGAAAAATAATTCTATAAGTTAATCCCCTGCATCAACATTAGTAAAATTAATCATTCCTCCAAGGAAAAGTGTCTTTTCAAAAACATTTTTATTATTCTCTAGCTTTCAGGCACGGACGCCCTTCTACAGAAGAAAACTTATACCATTATACCATCAACAACAACAACAAAGCCTTTATTTAGGACCTCTCGCCCTATACAGGATTCGCCAGTTCACAAGGGATGGGGAAGAACACTGTGTTCCGGGATATAATCCTGTGGAATCCAAATATCGCCACCGCTATATACCTATTCTTTGATATTTCATTAATTAGTGCCGGAAATGAAAGACAAAGTTGTCCCGTTTTATCATTTAGTTTTCGTCTTTCCTCAGACAGAGCAGCACAATCAAATAAGTAGTGCAACATCTCCATTGTTATTCCTGATCCACAGAAAGTGCATTTCAGGTCTTCACCCCATATTAAAATCAGATGGTGTTCTCTAAAAAAAAATTGAAAGGGTTCTAAATTGCGCGATTAATCTAATGAGAGGAAAAGAAAGTTCACTTAAGAAATATTCTTCGGTGGTAAACGTTGTATATATGTCTCTATAGTGGGAATATAACCATTATACCATCATTCTACCAGGTTTTCCTCCTGTAGTCCGTGCCCGAAAGCTAGAGAATAATAAAAATGTTTTTGAAAAGACACTTTTCCCTGGAGAAATGATTTTGCTCAATGAAAAATAATATTACAAATTAAAATAGGTTCATTAGCCATGATGCAACAGTATGGAACCACTTCCAGGCGCAGCTACCACCAATATGTTCATTTACCTTGTAGTAGTAACCTGATACGATGTCATTCCTGTTAGATTCTCTGGGAAAGTTGGCCGTGAAGCGTGGCCTTGTCGTGGTGAAACCAGATGGCTTATCACCATACAATGCCGAGAGAAATATTTGTCTCGGCGCGACATTAGTAGTTAGATTCCTAGCTCTTAGCATACTACTGGCAAGGTCGCAAGCAAAATAGCCTGACAAATCTTTCCTGTGGAATTCGATAAGTAAATCCAAGCAGGATCTATCAAGGTCTTATCCTACCTACCGATTTGTCTCTACCTGTCATTTGGGTGGGCGTACCTTTGTAGCAACTCCGCCCTTGCCGGTCCCAAGCCCGGATGAAAAAGGTGGAGGGGGAGCAGTAACAAGCTCACTAAAAAACCTGGGTTCAGCTGGCCTGGCTGATAGTACCCTGTAAGGGCTCCTAATTTAGGGATACAGGATGAACAGCGTTTGTACTCCATGTTAGGAGCGGCTGCACATGGCATCTGTTCCTCGTGTCAGAGGCGGCCATTTATTTTGGAGCTAAGTCGGCTTGCTACTGAGTAGTGCTCCCAGTCTTAATGACAAACGCAGACGCATTCTACTTCACCCAGTGTGGAGATAAGAAAGAGAAGAGAGACCTTTGTGGCGAAAGGTTTTATAAGATGATCCTCTCAATTGGACGATTTTCGTTAAGGAGTTGGCTTGCTCAAGAGCTTACTTTCCTCTTAGTAACGTTTTCCTCCTTTTAGCAAATAAAAAGTACTTCCTTTTTCTTATTTTGCTCCCATTTTTGATCACTAAATGTTCTCGAAGCGTGGATATTGAATGTAAGAACATTTTGTGCTATTTATATTATTTAAAACGAATTTTATGTGAGCAATAGTTATCCAGAAATTATTTGATAAAGTCAAAATAAATATCAGGTAAAAAGTTTCTTTTTTAATTTAAATTTGCAAGTTTTCGAGCAAATATACTGCTCTTCAACGGGCTGATACTCTATGTACAATCTCTAAATAATCTTTATTATAATAATTATTATTATTTTGTATAAATATTATTTAGAGATTGTACATAGAGTATTAGCCCGTTGAAGAACAGTATATTTGCTTTTAACCTTGCAAATTCAAAAATTAAAAGAAACTTTTTACCTGATATTTATTTTTACTTTTCAAAACGAATTTTTCTCTACAAAACTTTGAATAGAAAATGACAAGACATTGTGAGAGTCTGACCCTCCAACCAGTTTGATCTATCAGACTACTGGTACAACTATTGTTTATTACCGATAGAGCTTTCTGCTTCGATTAACCTCCACAATTGCAGACTATATAGGCATCAATGCATTATCTATATAGTGGGTTTATAAGTGATGTGCTTCCCGTTTCTTGAGTGATTATGAAAAATATCTTTTTTTTTTTTATGCCAAAATGATTTCTATCTTTAATATCCATATATACCTTATACCAACTTTCCCTAATGTTACTTGCTAGGGTTTTAGCTATTTTGCTAATAATTGGAGGTTTTGAACTCAATCCTGGATATACCTTATACCATCTGCCCGGTAAGCGGAACACTGTAGGTTCGATACCCATCCCTGGACACTTATTTTTCCGTTTATTATTACTATTCACAATCCATCCTATCATACTTCATCCCTAAGGTTTAGAAATAATCGTTATTTCTCTTTAAAATAAATTTCGATTTTTCGTTCAAAAGAAACATTTGTGGTATAATTGTCAAATTTCGTTCTACAATCATAAGCCACATTATATTGTACTAGCGGATGTACCCGGCTTCGCCCAGGTTTTTCTCGAGGGAATGTTTGTAGTCTAGTAATAAGAAAATATACTACACCTAAAAACTATCAGAGAAAAGAGAAACCACGGAAGGTGAACAGAAAAATGCTTACAATGGATGTTATGTTTACGATATCAAGTTAAATAAAAACAAAGATAAAATTTGCATATGTTGGTCACTATAAATTTGTATATTTGTTAGGCGAAATTAGAAACATGATAAAACAATTGGGTATTTAAAAACAAATGTAGAAATAAAAGTTGAAGTATAATAAACAATGTTAAAGATTAGTTTTAATTATTAATCAAGATTGTGTGTGAATATGTGAGAAAGATGTAATATCGTTGTTGTTTTCTTGGCCGACTGTTTTACATATGGTGTTATCTTAAAATTGCTTGTTTTGAATATTTTTTAGATTGAGATTATTAGCTAGTATGTAAAAAAAATTAACTCTGTTGAAATTTAATTTTGTATTTATATATAAATAAAATTAACTCTGTTGATTTTTTTTTTTTGTATTTAATCGATAACAGCGAAGTTACGCATGTTAATGTTAGGAAATATATTTTGATGTTAAGCAAAACCTGCTCCATCTCGTTTTACATAAATGTTGAAAATTTGGTTGAAATTGATGCATTGTAACGAAAGTTTTTAGTGATGTCCACTTATGAAATTTCCATTTTATTAATATAGATTATAGATTATAAATACCTTATGTTTAAAACATAAGACTGTTAGGGCTAAACTTTCATTGTGGTTTGTGAATTAGAATGTTTTCAGAGAAACTTATTCCTGGAAGCCTGTTTTTTTTACCTTAATAAACTTTCATCCGACATTATAAATGGGCTTATGGAGATGGCTTAGCCATCTTGTTCTAAAAAGAGAATATAGAGAAGCTTTTCTGGCCGAAATGATCGGATAGATTAGTTTGTTTGTTTGTTTTTTTCTTTCGAAAAAGAATTATAACATTCAAGATATATTAGTAAGTTTCGAATATCTCCTTTTTTTCCACTTCAAACACACAATCTTATTTAGTACAATAGAAGAGTTCTCTAAGGACTACATAACCTAAGTTGACCACATTAAGTGCTACCATTTCGGATTGCAATTAATCCTTTGAATAGTTTTTGCCGAAAATCATTCGAATAGCTCCTCTTTTTCCACTTCAAACACACAATCTTATTTAGTACAATAAAAGAGTTCTCTAAGGACTACATAACCTAAGTTGACCACATTAAGTGCTACCATTTTGGATTGCAATTAATCCTTTGAATAGTTTTGCCGAAAATCATTCGAATAGCTCCTCTTTTTTCACTTCAAACACACAATCTTATTTAGTACAATAGAAGATTTCTCTAAGGACTACATAACCTAAGTTGACCATATTAAGTGCTAGATTATCGGATTGTAATCAATTTTTAGAAAATCCTTAGAATCATTTTGCCGAAAATCGGTGTTAATCTCCCTACAGTCTTTTCCAAACTTTTCGTGCCGTTTTCATATGTCAGAAGGAAAGATTAATTGTGTTGCGCGGAGTAAAAAAAAACAATCGACATTACTTTAGGGTAACCGCGGCAAAAAAGAGAGAGAGAGAGACGAAATAAAAGAGTAAGTTAAGGCGTGAAGACATCACGGAAGTAAGACATATATCTGACGTGGAGGACATCCTAAGTAGAACACAGCTCCGCCCTTCATGTGGAAGTTATGGGAGGAACATGGTCTAGTGGGACTTGGCTTGGCAGCTTCCTTGGGGCTTCCTAGCTATCCATCCTCGACTTTATTTCCCCTCACAGCATCGATAGCAGTCATTCTGATGGTGATTACCGGCACCATATGTTTGCTTCTTTTAAACGAAAAATCAAAATTTATTCCAAGGAGAAATAACGATTATTTCTAACCATAGGGATGAAGTATGAAAAGATGAATTGTGAAAAGTAATGATAAACGGAAAAATAAAAGTGTCCAGGGATGGGAATAGAACCCACAGTGTTCTGCTTCTTACCGGGCAGATGCCATGTCCACTAAGCTACCCTTGGAATAAATTTTGATTTTTCGTTCAAAAGAAACACATGCGGGATAATTTTCAAATGTCGTTTTACAATCACATGCTGCATTATATTATATTGTAATATAAATTGACAATTTAAACGTGTAATTGATTCTTCTAATCAATTGATACAGAAAGAAAAATTAAGATCGAATAAAGATAATAAAGGAGTAAAAAAGGGTAGATGAAATGTGTAGGGAAATATATATAGTTGTATATATACAAATTTCTTCAGCAAGGAAGACTTCCCCATCTTGAGAGAGTCCTCCTCCAGACAAGGTCTTCTTGAACATTGTCCTGAATGGATAAACTTGCGCTGAATTGGACGGCGCTCTTTTTCTGGAGGGAAAAAAATCTGTATTTACCTTAATTATATGATGGACGGATCAAACATACAAAAATATTAAAAATAAATGAGGCATGTCCTGACCACTAGCATGAACGTTTTATGGATGGCAGAGCGCCATCTAGTGGAACAGAAATAAACTAAACGTTAATTTAACCTGTTCCTTGATATTTGGCCAACCCATTTTCCTGGTAAATTAAGAAAAGCCAACCATGTTCAAGGAACAAGTTAAATCAACGTTTAGTTGATTTCTGTTCTACTACTTGGTGCTCTGCCATCTATAAAACGCTTGGTTTAGTGGTCAAGGGATATACCTAATTTATTTTTAATATCAACACCTGACCTTTTTTATTTTCACATACAAAAATATATAAATTATTCTTTAATGTTCTGTCCGAAGGGTATTTCAAGAACAATGAATGTCGGGCAGGTGTAATCTCTTCAATAAGATATATTTAATTGAAAAGACAGGAGTATATTTTAGAATCAAAATTAGTTAATAGATAGGAATAAGTCAGTAGACGAGTGGTTAAAACCCTCGATTCCCAACAGCTATGGACCGGGATTGTATCCCGCGTTGAACCCTTTGTTTTAATATGTGAATAACCTTCACTTATTATTCATTGTTGTAAATATCATAAACTAGGTTTCTCTTTTTGAACGGGTACCTAATAAAGTGATTTTGGAACAAGATAGGAAGAATTCGTTTAGAAAATGAATAGGAGTTGTTGCATTCCAAAAAAAAAAAACACTATCTAGTGTGGGTATTTTTAAAAAGTTGAAGAGAAGGGGGGGTTGAGAGAATGGGGCCGTGCCGGCCGGCCGGTTTGGCCGAAGCAGCGAGCGAGAGAGCTGGCTAGAGTAGCAGCTATCACACGGCCCATCACACAATGGCTGACCGGCGGTATTTGTGCCAGGCTATCTATCTACCGAGCGACAGACAGCGCCTGATAAACTTGGCACACTTCGTCGGGAGTCTTGCTCACTTATCCTCCTTCAAATATTTATCCACAAACTATGACAAAAAAATGATAGTTTCAAACATCTATCTTGAATCTACATAGCACCCAGGAGCCCCCTACATAGCCCCAAAGATATCGAGGTAGAAGAAACTACCTTTCCATTCAAAAAGAGGACACTTTGGATGATTTTTGAGGTATAACAGAAAAAATTATATTAGCAATCCATTTCCTTGTATTGATCTCATCCTTTAAAGCATGCATCCTAGGCTGGGAATGTTTGGGGTAGAAGAGGAGGGCTTGTTTTATACCAAAGAGATAGAGCAAAAATATGGAACGCTTCACAATTTTGCATATCATCCTTGCGCAGGGGCCATACTAATCTTCTCTGTATCGTTCCAATTTTAGTATTTGTACCGCCTAACAAGCGTGTACAAAGAAAAAGAGCAAGAGGATATTAATAATAATGATAATAATAATAAAAATACGGCTGCATGCACAAGAGAGAGTTCACGTGTCTTGACACACCACTTTGGGATTACCTATCTCGCTGGAGATGCTCTGCAAGAATCAAAACAGACTTCCACGCACAATCAAACATGGTAGCAACCACAAATAATGGACCACAAAGTGTATAACACAAATAATATTATTTTTATCTCAAATAAATATGATGGTGGTGGTGCTTATCTCCGTGGTTAAACCAATTCCTGATGTCCACTCCTCTCCAATTTTGCCATGGTAGTTATAGGCCTGGAAAATAGGTCCTCTATTGTCAGTTCTGAGCATGATATGTTCCGGATAAGCTTCTGCACTATTGGAGTATTTAGATGCGTTTCCTGTTGATGGGACATCTGAGGCACCTGTAGGTAGGAATATGACTTTGCTTGTTAACATTCAGTTGGACATAGTGGGACAGCCTTCATGCCTTGGGTGGGCCCTACCCAATCAAATAAATGTATATATAAGATTAAAACCTCCCGTTATTTACCATTATTTTTTAATCACGTTTAGTTTATATTTATTCCAATAGATTTTAGTAGCAACGGCATAAGATCCAATGCTTAGAAAGTTTGGCCCAAATAATAGTTTCTTCATTTTAACTATATGCAAGGAGAAAAATACAAAAATTTAATATCTTAATGTATGATACCAACGGAAAAAAAAAAACGTAAACTAAAAAAAAAAACGGTTAGACCATTTGAATCAAAGTAGTTTGAATACAACATTAACACTTGGGCATACGGTGAACGAGTGGCTGAAATCCTGGATTCCCGACAGCCATGAAACGGGATCGAATCCCGCATTGTATACCTTTTTTTCTGTGTGTGTGAAGAACCTATTCATATTTATAATGTAAATAGCATAAGCTAGGTTGCTCTTTTTGAGTGGTACCTGATAAGTCAGTGGTACCTCAAAAGTCGGTGGATGAGAGGGTAACACGCTCGATTCCCGACAATAAGTCGGTGGATGAGAGGGTAACACGCTCGATTCCCGACAATAATTCGGTGGATGAGAGGGTAACACGCTCGATTCCCGACAATAAGTCGGTGGATGAGAGGGTAACACGCTCGATTCCCGACAATAAGTCGGTGGATGAGAGGGTAACACGCTCGATTCCCGACAATAAGTCGGTGGATGAGAGGGTAACACGCTCGATTCCCGACAATAAGTAGGTGGATGAGAGGGTAACACGCTCGATTCCCGACAATAAGTCGGTGGATGAGAGGGTAACACGCTCGATTCCCGACAATAAGTCGGTGGATGAGAGGGTAACACGCTCGATTCCCGACAGTCATGAACCGGGATTAAATCCCGCGTTAAAATTTGTTTAGTATGTGAATAACCTAAACATAGTATTCATTGTTCAATTATCATGAACTAGGTTGCTCTTGCTGAGCGGTACCTATTTATGTGAATTTGAACCAGGCTAATAAAGTTGTTTTGGAACAGGACTTGGGCATACTTGTTAGGACATGTCATGTTAAAGAAATACCTGTCCCAAAGTTAGGTAGTTTTAACACGATTATTCTATCAGCGAAAAGCCTACCTCGCGTAAAGTTAATAGAGGAAGTTTCTTTAACATGACATCTCCAGATATCATAGTTTCTATCCTTTCTTCCTGCATGCTAGAATGTATATATATATGTTGTTGTTTTTTTATTAGACAATTAAAATAATTTTATTGACATGTTGTCAATAAATGCAAAATCCACAGTCTGTACTATTTTAAAAAAAGATAATATGCATCATATACACTATGTACAATGAATATGGGGCCTCTGCCAGCGCTGCATAGTTTGGTGGAGAATCGCCAGCGGGTCTCCAGCGACACCACGCGCTAGAATGTATAGAAGGGCGTAGAAATGTTTCCCATCTTTAGGTATGTCATCATTGTAAACTAACTCGCCATATATTGTAGTTTTGTTTTACAGGCAATAAAAGTTGGGTGGGTCGTAGAGATGTGATGTCCTTTCAAGGGAATGTTATTTTTAAGAAACTGCACGGCGCTTTTCTATTATTGATTCAAAGCTCGCCTCAAACCCAAGGTCTCTCGCTACAAGTTTTTCCTGAGGTAATGGGGAGTTAACGGAAACGTAATTATTCTTTGTCGTGTTGAGGAGCCTTCAAAGTTTCATTTATCGTTCCCCCTTTTTAGTGTTTCTTTGCCGGTCCCAAGCCCGGATGAAAAAGGAGGAGGGGGAGCAGTAACAAGCTCACTAAAAAACCTGGGCTCAGCTGGCCATGCTGATAGTACCCTGTAAAGGATACAGGATGAGTAGCATTTGTACTCCATGTTAGGAGCGGCTGCATATGGCGTCTGTTCCTCATATCATAGGCGACCATTTCTTTTGGAGCTAAGTCGGCCTGCCACTGAGTAATGCTCCCAGTCTTAATGACAAAGGTAGACGCATTCTACTTCACCCAGTCATGATGGTTGTCTTACACCATCAACAAGCTTTACAAGCTTGACACCCTAATATGATTGAGTGGAGATAAGAAAGAAGAAGTGTTTCTTAAATATGTATGCTATGTTTAACTATTTGCGGATGTCAATAAAATCTAAACCAATTATTGATTTAGAGGGTGAGAGATGACGTCATATACAGGCTGTGTGACACAGAGTGGACGAATTCAGGTACTAATGACTTTTGGTTTTCAAGTAATTTCCTGTTTAAAAGTGGATTCTCTCCTCATTGCCTCCCCAAAATAGACACACTACCTAAATTAGGCGTATTTAATAGTTTTAGACGTTATCTGACACGTTTTGTGTCAAGGTAATCATGGTGACTGGTAGGTAGGTAGGGACAGGATTGACTACCTCACAGTAAGAATTACGTAAGACCAGCGTAGTCGGTAGATCTATTTTCGTACTTAAAATGCGTTATCATCATTCACTTCAAGATAAGAGGCTAGCAAATCTTGAGAGTTTCTCTCCCGGCATGTCGGCATCCCTCCTCCCAGTTTTACTTCAAATAGTTACCACTGTCCTTTGGGACGGTCAAGAGTAGAAATGGCCAAGCTATGGAAAAAGCCTCAATAAGGAAAGCCAAAGAAGTAGATGTTTTCGCCAGCTGTTTTTATAGGGTTACGCAAGATGTTATTTACAAGGGCGGATAGGTGTCCGAGCAAGTTTTTAAACGTACGTTTTTTTCCCCCTTTGAAAACGGGTAAATAGGACAAT